GATTATTTACTGCTGAATTATAGCTTACAACTCGCACCAACGGCTGACGCTGCTCTGGTGTTTGTGTTTTTGCTGGCTAGTGAAACATCCTGGTACAGGCTATTTACTGGAGTTTACCAGCCTGTTGCTCATGCAGTTTTCGAAGATAATGACAAGCACGGCTGTTTTCGGCTTTTGAATATCCAATAGTCCACCACTAACTTTTGGAACTTCTCGTCTTATCGAAGAAAATGAAACATTAGATTTGGTCTTAGTTTTTTATTATTTCGAGCTCGTCGTTGTCTCGTTTTCGGCATGAAAAAGAGGTCTTCACGAAAAATATTCATCATAGTTTTCATCAATGCAATTAACAGTGGTTTAAGGAGACAGTGTGTAAGATTTAGGGAGATATAGTGGCACCTAGCGAGAGGATTGTAGATGCAACCAACTCCTGGTTAGAATTCCTTTAGTGTTATTTGTTCAGGAAGTTTTGGAGTCAAATTATTGACAGAGGTCCCTTCCTCTCCAAAACAAATGGGCCAGGAAATTAAAACTGGTAAAAACACTAAATAAAGCAGTTTCACAACATAAATCAGTGTTTTTCTGACACGGTTTGGCATGTTGGAGACAGATGCTATCCTAGCACCTGTTAATGTACGCTTGCATTTTTTCTGATCCAGATATTCAGGAAGTTTTTACTGGGAGCCGAATAAAACAAATGAACCCAGTGATTTAAACCAGTAAAAACACTGAATAAAGCTGTTTAATGATAGAAAACATTGTTTCTCTGGTGCTGTTCGGCTCATTGCAGACGGGCTGCTAGCTCAGCACCTGCAAATGTGGGCTCACACAAAAAGGCCAACACAAAAAGGCAAATGGCCCTATCTAGAGCCAGTATTTAGTTTGTCTGTTCCGGGCTACTGTAAAAACACCACAGTGCATCATGACAGACTTCATAGACAATGACCCACTCCATATGTAGACAGGAACAGCTTGTTTTAAGGTAACACAAAAACACAACACAATAATTCTTATTTTCAGGTGATTTTACACTACAGAAAACATACTTGTTATATTATTTTCCATTTCTGCCTAGATATCCCCCTAAACCTGACACACTGGACCTTTAAGGATGTGGAAATAATGGACAATATAAGAAGACCGCTAATGTTACCAGTTTTCTACAACTGCCACTTCCTGCACACCTGCTCCTTCTGCAGAGGTAACCACAGCAGGAATAGCTGTCTCCACATCCCAACCACACCTGCAGACTGACTAGCAAAGCACATTGCACTCCTCAGTAAATGTTTAACCCACTGCTCTACACAGTTATTCTGATGAAGAGTTTGTTCACTTTCTCATCAACGGTTTCAGACAAGATTTTCATACAGGCTTAGAGATCCTGACACTTGCATATCTGCTGCAAATGTGCTTCCCTTTGTGGTTGTTTTGTGCCTCTTTGTGGTCATTTTGCATCTCTTTGTAGCCATTTTGTGACTCTTTGAGTTTGTTATGCTTCTCTTTGTGGTCAATTTGCATCTCTTTGTGATCATTTTAGATGTCTTTGTCATTGTTTTTCTTTTCTTCGTGGTTTTCCACAAAGACTCTTTGTAGTCATTTTGTGTCTCCTTGTAGTCATTTTGTGTCTCTCTGTGGTCATTCTGCATTTTGTGTCTCTTTGTAACTGTTTTGCGTCCCTTTGTGGTTGTTTTGCATCTCTTTGCAGTCTTTCTGCATCTCTTTGTAGTTGTTTTGTGTTTCTCTGTGGTCATTCTGCGTTTTGCGTCTCTTTGTGGCCATTTTGTGTCTCTTTGTATTCTTTTGGACTCTCTTTGCTCTCTTTGTAGCTTTGCATCTGTAGTTTTTCTCCCATCTCTTTGTGGTTGTTTTGTATCTCTGTGTGGTTTTTGCTAATCTTTGTAGTTTGACTTTTGAACAAGAATGTTAATAGTCGCCTCAAACAGAGGATCTGGTCCAGATACCTTTTGGGACCGTTTATTAATCCATCCATGGGAAAGTCCACTCATGCATTTTCCCTGTTTGTATTTATTGATCTATTACGTCAAAACTACAACTACAACCAAAAGACATAGAGTTCTTGGGGAGAAACCAGGAAGGCAGTGTGATGCACTGAGGAGGAGGCTATGACAGCAGACTTTTTGCCTCAACTTCGAGTGTGGCCCCTCAGACAGGACACTTTTTCCTAGAGATGCAATTGGACAACATATCTGACAGCCTGGTTTGTCTGAATCATACAGAATCCTTAAGTCATACACGTTTAAAACACAGGCTTCTGTCAGAGGAAAGAAACAGAACCAGCTATAAATGTGACTGCGGTTGTAATTTAGAATCCTAATGCCAAAATATAAGAAATTTTCCTGCTATGAAGGGTACATGTGGCAAACATGTATACTACCCAGGTCAAAGGTGACACAAAATTTGACCCACCTATGTGCATGATGGGTTAATTGTACATTTCATTTATTATTTTACCTGTTGAGAATCACATTTTGTTGTATTCAGGGTTCCCACATATTTTAATGAACAAAATTTCTAAACTTTACCATTACTTTTCAAG